ATATATATATATATATATATATATATATATATATATATATATATATATATATATATATATATATATATATATATATATACGAAGGTCCCCGAACAGACCTCCGTACGTACAGCGGTTCGGGGTCCCGTATGGGGTCCGAACCCGATGGCGTTCGGCCCCCGCCAAAAATTATTTCTAGGCCTAAAAATAATTATGCTTTTCTGAAATTGTTTTTGTGAGTTCTCTATGACGTGAGGTACATGCCTGTAAATTTTCAAGTTGTGAGTAAAAGTGATGTTGTAGATCAAGTAGATCAATACGAAGCACTAGTACAAAAGTCAAACATGCCAAGCTTGAAAACATGCGAAGAGCATGAAAAACATGCAAAGAGCATGAAAACATGCAAAGTATGAACGGACGATTATACAGTAAGTAATTTTTTTGAGCATGGAAAACATGCAAAGAGCATGAAAACATGCAAAGTATGAACGGATGATTATACAGTAAAGTAATACGTCTCCGGTGGGTTAGCACCCCGACCGGTTTTGATAGCCGCCACACTGTCTCATCAGGGGGAAACCGCCGTCATCTCCCTAAACTTCATCGTCAACATCCTCACACCCGCCTCCGTGCGTAACAACTGCTGAGCAGCCATCACTACGACGTTGGACCCAGACCCCGGAAAGGACCAAGAGCGTATCACCAATTACCATTTATCCCGGAGTTTACGCTATACAGTACGGGTGACAAAAACGAAAACGCAGAAACTACGCAAAAACAAAAATAGCGCCAAAAATTTTGAAAACTACGAACAAATGTGAAAAAGCGAAAAAACGAAAAAGCGGGGTACTTCGTTGGTATGAAATGTCGGGTTCTTACAGCCTGCGCTAGCTGACAAAAGGGACTGAGTCCGCCCGTTCGGACGGGCCCAAACAAACGCATGGGGTGTTACCCTCTCGAAACTGTTTTCGAAAGAAACGTTGCGCCCTGTCCCTATGTCCGACACCCTTGCTCTGCCACTGGATGGTGGCTCGAAACACCACCCAGTGGGCACCTTGTCCATAGCTTGGGATCAAAACCACACCGAAAAAACGACGACAACGACTTACTCATGCATTGTACTGTTCCCACAGACAAGCAGCTCCCTATTCGAAAACCTGGCCTACTCCTAATACGGTCTGTCGTACACCTAAGGCCCGGAGAAACCCATAACTCGTAAGCGAGACACTACCAGAGCCATACTAATCTCCTTCACATACCACACGAACTGAAATACAAGTCAGAGCTACTCTAATATCTGGGAGACATCTCATCCAAATAACGTCCATCTTACGTACTAAGAAGCCGAAAAAACTGAGAAGCACCTAACAGTTCCCACACAGAAAACATACGCAAACTATTGATGGCCGCTTGAGTGGCGATATTGCAGACCGTACTGCACACAGGGTACATTTCTTGAACATCCATCCTAGACCGATGCGATGTATTAAGAACGCTGAGAGGGCTACTCGAGCAAAAGCTAGCCGTACAGCCAATCATAGGTCCATGCCCAAATAGAATCCTTTCCTACTGCGAAGCGTTTCATAACCCTTTGCAGAGAGTCGCTCGGGAAATCTTTAAGCCTGAGTTCTCGTTGCAGTCTCAGAACCCGCAGCGGGATGGCAGATCGCACATTCGTATTTCTCATGATTCTGTGAAGACTGCTTCCAATAGCCGCACTTTTCTGCATCTTGCTCCCCCACGAATAGTACGTCTGCCCATTCTTAAACTCCAACTTATCTTCTTCCCACATTGAGACCTCATTTTTTGCTGATTGAACACAGCGCAAGTAGGGGTGAAGGACATCGACTGTCATTTTCGTACCCAAAAAGTCCCATGCACCTTCCTCCTGACCGGTTCTCTTCAGGGTAAGACCATGAGGATAGCAGTCTTCAAAGCGTCTACGAATAAAATCCATCTGTATCTGCTTCCGCCCTCTGATGATAACCAGACTAACATCATCCATTAGGCGGAGACCGAAGACCGATTGACGCCAATCCCCCAAGCTGTTCAAAAACTTACATTCTGCAAAGGCGCACAGGATACAAGCGAGGGGCGGACTCAAACTTTTGCCCATCGGTATCCCAACAGTCTGCCTCAGCAAAACGCCGGTCGCCCGTGTGAATGTGTGCTCCAACTCCCATCTGACGAACCTACGAATATCAATGAAGGTTAACTCCCTCCAGGCTTTATCGCCGACCGTTGACCCAAACGAGCAACCCTTGCCTTTCGTGTTGACTCGCACCGAGTTCCTTCCCTTGCTCACATGGTGATCCAGGACCCAGTCGACCGCCCTCACAATGTCCTCGTGCGGTAATTTGGTAAACATGTCCTTGATATCGTAGGACATGGATACCAATTCGAAATCGCCACCCGCTGCTTTGGCGATCCTCCGATTGCATTTCTCCAACTTCGGCACCAGGTCGTTGACCGACTTCAAATTGAAGTTGCTACCGGCAGGCATAGTCCCCAAAAGATGGTTGAGGCCCTTGGCCACTGCTCGACATGTCCGAACAGTGGGTTCAGAGAAAGTCGGGCAGATGGGCCTAAATCGCGACAGGTCCTTATGCTTGGGCATAATATATGCCTCGCCTACCTTACCCTTCGCGTCCCACCTCACAAACTTTTGCATACCAATAGCTTTGGCCTGATCTTTCATTCTGCGATACACCTCCGCCTCAGATTCTTCCACAATGTTGTAGCCCGATGAAGTCACAAACATCCCCATCATCCCTTCGTAGTATACAGACGGGCACATCACGAGCGTCTCGCCCGGATTGTGGTCCACCGGTGTCAGTACTAGCCCCTTCAACGCTACCTTCACAGCCTCGACTTCGCTGGGGTCGAGGTACTTCTCGCCATACCCACTACTACCACTCATACATGCTGACAGCTCCGCGTTGCAACAACAAACGTCCTGACCGGTCCAGTTACTCCACTCTGCGAAACCAGCGGCGATCTCCTTCCCCTACTGCTTCATTCTATCTGGGATGCGCAACTTGGGCACATTCAACGCATGACAGATCATTGGATGTACCCCTTCCGACTCCTGCAAGCGAAACTGCACGTGGACTCCTACCCTTGGGTAGGGAAGTCCGGCGCAAACGCAGGTTGATACCTCGGCCTTCGCAAAAAGCCGATGGTTATGTATCTTCTCCGCAACCGAGGGGTTCTTAACCCACACGATTTGGATCATCCCACGTACAGCCTCCCTAAGACAGGGAGGAACGGATAGTGTATCGATCTTATCGTTAACGAGTTTACGGACCTCCACAAGACGAATACGGTCATCGAATTTCAATCTTATGATCAACTTGGAATTCATCTTCCATCCATATGTTAACTTGATTGCTCGGACGATGAAACGACGTAAGTACGCCGCCGAAGACGCTTGTTGGAAGTTCCCAGCCGCCTTATTCAGACGTAGTAGCACCTCCAGACTACATGCTTTCAAAACCTCGAGGCAATTTGGATTGCGGAATAAGGATCTCAAGAAACGCTTATCCGGACCCGCCTTAGGCGACCACTTGATCAAACGCAACATAACGAAGTTTCCTCCCTTTTCCAACTCCGCTTTACACGATCTCAGCTGCCTCCGTGAACGTCCACAACAGACCATCGAGTTTCCGAATGCGCGAGCGACTTATTTCCAACCTCCACACCATGCGTTTTCACTCTCAATCGAGAAAGAAAATGGTCCCGCCGTCTTTTCCTCCTGTGCCGTCAAGAATTTGTAGAAGTCCACCGACCAGACCCCATCCTCATGCAACCTCATTCGGATAGGCACAACTTTCAAACTCGAATCACCGTGGACTTCGCCCTTACTCTTCGCATGTGTCTTTGCACGCTCATTCTTCCCTCTACGAATCTGCCTCCTGGCCCACCTGGCCGCCGGTTTACCTGTTGTATTGAGTACAGGAGACCATCTTCGTACGTAAAAGAGTTCAAGACTAAGCAGATCAGGCGTGTCACCGACTTCGATAGGCAGCAAGACATATGACTCCGGTCCAAACACCTGCCACCATCTATATAGGTGGGTTTGCTTCGAACCACGATTATACAAAGACAGGTGTTCTTTCCATCGAGTGTCAAAGCGCCGTTTAGTTTGCCCAACATATTGCGCCTTGCATAATGGAGAGGACAAGATGTAGACCCCCCCCGTACATTCCCCGAAAGCATGCATGCCTAGACGTTGATATAGTCTCAGCCATGAGTCTTCACATTTGCAGAGCCAACGAATTGCCCTATCAAGGTTAGTAGAATGATCACCAACCTAAATAGATTCTCAATGATAGAAACATGCGGCAGATATTTACGAACGCCTATGAGCGCTCTACACAGTCTCCAGTACTCTTCAGTTGTTCAGTTCTCCGAATCCTCCTCGCTCGCTGCTTCCTCCTCAACTTGTTCTTCATGCTTGTTCGCCTCCAACTCCTCGCCCGTTGCCTCCGTAGTTGCAACATTTCCCACCTCCGTGTTGAACGCCGCATTCGATCGCTTCTCCGTAATTGCCAGAATCATATTCATTTTCTTCAGCCCTTCGAAAGGGACACTCTCCTCTCTGCAGATGTGCTTCAGTTCCTGAATGTTACGTTCTCCCAAATCACGGATATTGTCGGTAATAAACATTAGTTTCCCCATCATGTCGGGTGACGCCGGCACCTTCTTCGCTCCCCGCTTACCCCTCCGAGATCTTGGTGTCTTCTTGGTTAGTGGCGTCTTCATCGGTTGACGTCTGACGCTTAGCAACAGGCGTTTCGGATCCAATGCGCCGTGTGCCGCCGTCCGCTTGGCCGGAGTTTCCATGGGCGGACTGTCTCCAATAGTTATGTCGGCACCTCATTTCCGCTTTTCGCTGATAATAAGGCGTTCTGCCTGTTCACTTAACGCCTCAATTTCATTGCCTTCGGACTCGTGGCTATCCTCCTCCGCGGACGCATGTACAGGTACCTTCTCCTTGCCTTTGCTTTTTGCGATCTGCGCGCTTGCCAATCGCTGGTGCCGTTCTTCACATACGTTTTCCATATGCATGCGGATCTCCATGCGAAGGTCTTTCTGCAACGCCTCCCGGACCTCCGCCTCCAAGCGTTTCTTTTCTTCTTTCTTCTTCAGACGCCGCTCTTTCGTTAGCCTTTCTTCCTCTTCTCTCAGTACTCACTCTTTCTCTTCACGTGCACGCATCTCCTTCTCCATTTTTGCTCTCGCTTTGTCCTCCTTCCTCTGCTGCTCCGCGTCGATGAAATTCTTCATCCCAGTGATAGAACTCGCTAGGTCCTCAAGTTGCTTCCTGACTTCCGGATCCTCGGATGACGAACGACGTTCTCCAGTCTTGTCGTGATAAGTAGGCGAAGTAGAACGTCCACGCCGTGGCATGTGACGCCCACTACTCTCACCCACCAGCTTGGGGCACTGATTCCTATAGTGCCCTGGTTCTCCGCATTCGTAGCACACTATTACGAAACGTCGTGGTTGCTCCAGGTATTCCCCATGGTCGCGAGGCGCTGCATGCTCGTTACGAGCATCACCATATCTATCACGACGATCCTCCCTTCCGTAGTCACGGCCACCACCTGAACTGTACCCTGCGCCCACATCCGGGTGTCTCCCCCGATGGCCCTCCCGTCGCTGCTCTCGATACGAAGAACCGGACATCCTTCCACAGGCCAACTCTAGCGCCCGTCGAGAAGCACAGTCTCGTACAGCGCCCACGATCCTCCACCTGTTCGCTGCCGATGCCAGTACACCAGTACAAATAAAGCAAAAGCAACAGCAAGTACAGGTAATCTTAAATCGTGCTCACACTAGTAGGGCTACTTCCCCGCTGGTTCACACGCGCCTTCACAAGTTGTGAGTAGAAGTGATGTCGTAGATCAAGTAGATCAATACGAAGCACAAGTACAAAAGCCAAACATGCCAAGCTTGAAAACATGCAAAGAGCATGAAAAACATGCAAAGAGCATGAAAACATGCAAAGTATGAACGGACGA